CCCGCCTCCCCAGTCCCTCCTGGAGACGCATGACTCTGTGGCCTCAAAGACCTATGAGACACCGCCCCCCAGCCCTGGCCTGGACCCCACGTTCAGCAACCAGCCCGTGCCTCCTGATGCGGTGCGCATGGTGGGCGTCCGCAAGACGGCTGGAGAGCATCTGGTGAGGGCGCTGGGCAGCGCCAGCGGTGGAATCTCGGGACGGGGGTGTTGAGAGTAACTGGCGGGGATCAAGTCTGGTCAGGAGAGGGCTGAAGATGAAGACGGGATCAGCTCTGCCCAGGGTCGGGCGCCAGCACACCCAGGAGACCGCAGACATTGTGACTCTCTCCATTCTGCCCACTTTCAGTCCACTGGTGCCCCTGTAGGTAAAGAATTTGGGCAGAAGATGGCAGAGAAGGTCGCTGTGAGGGCGGGGGTGGAAGGGTAGAATGGAGGGGCTCTTAAGAGACCCATTTGAAGATTCTGACTTGGAGCAGTTGGCGCCTCATCATACCCGCCCTCCGTTCCCCAGGGCGTGACATTCCGCGTGGAGGGTGGCGAGTTGGTGATCGCACGCATTCTGCACGGGGGCATGGTGGCTCAGCAAGGCCTACTACACGTGGGCGACATCATCAAGGAGGTGAACGGGCAGCCGGTGGGCAGCGACCCCCGCGCGCTGCAGGAGCTCCTGCGCAACGCCAGCGGCAGCGTTATCCTCAAGATCCTGCCCAGCTACCAGGAGCCCCATCTGCCCCGCCAGGTGGGCCCCTCCACCAAGCCCCTCGCCCAGCACAAGGCCCAAGGGGTGGCTGAGCTTCCCGGTGGCCAGGGTCACGGGCCTCCTGATGGGAGCCCCTCCTCGCCAGCCAGTGTAGTCAAAGCAAGAGGCGTCTGGCGAACGCGGCCACGTGTTTGCCAGTCTCAGGCACTCATGCGCACGTGTAAGGGATGTGCGCGCATCTAAAGCCTGGAGTACCTGAGTGTACAGATGAATTCCTGCATCGTGCGCAGCCCTCCGTGTGCCTACGTGTAGGCACGGGTGCCCAGAATTGGGTTATCATGTGTTCTATACAGCTGCCTTCATGTTGGTGGATTGTGGAGGTCTCGCTGCTCTGCTCACCTCTCCTATTGGCTGTCTAGCCTTTTGCCAGAGCCCTCTCCTCCGAGGGAGGGTGTAGGGGGATGGAGGGATCTTGCATTAGGTGCCAGGATCATGTTCCTTACCAGGTGATCCCACCTTCTTGGTGGGTAGGGCCAGGGCCCCAGGCCTGAGCAGATCCCCTATCCTGAGTCCTTTTGTTCTGGATGCAAAGGGAGGCTGGTACCAGGGAGGTGGACCAGGCAGGCCTGCGACATCATGCCTTTAGATGGGCAGTGCCAGGGTCTCTTTCATCTTTGTGAGGGGAGGGGGCAGAAGGTGAACTGTGTGACACTCCCACCCCCCCACACCCTCGGGGTAGGGGTGGCAACAGGAATGGGCATCGCCCCCTCCAGCCTTCCCCTGCTTCTTCCCTTGACCCTTTGCCAAATCCCTGGCCCAGGTATTTGTGAAATGCCACTTTGACTATGACCCAGCCAGAGACAGCCTTATCCCCTGCAAGGAAGCTGGCCTGCGCTTCAATGCTGGGGACCTGCTTCAGATTGTAAACCAGGACGACGCCAACTGGTGGCAGGTGAGCCCTGGGCACCCATGCTGTCTCTCCAGGTATGGTGTCGGGGGGCAGTGAGGGCTTACTCAGGCACATCTTTGTCCCACGGCCATTTCAGGCGTGCCACGTAGAAGGGGGCAGCGCTGGGCTCATCCCCAGTCAGCTACTGGAGGAGAAGCGGAAAGCCTTTGTCAAGCGGGACCTGGAGCTGACACCCACCTCAGGTACAGTCCTGCCCCCAGACCTCTAATCTGGGACCTGATGTGGCCCTGCCTGGCCTCACTTGCTCATCTCCTTACGGCCAGGGACCCTGTGCGGCAGCATTTCAGGAAAGAAAAAGAAGCGAATGATGTATTTGACCACCAAGAATGCAGGTGGGTGTTGGGGGCCCCCTTCCCCCATCCTCCTTCAGTGCTCCCTCCGTCCCCCTCATCTCCTGGTTCTGATGCTGCCAGTCCTGTCCCTAAGCCCTGCCCTGTTTTTCCCTCCTGCCCTTGGCCCCAGCCCTCTTATCCTTGGCCTCCCTGAGAGCCCAGCCCCACCCCCTTCACCTGATGAGCAGTGACATCTCCCTGTGTCCAGAGTTTGACCGCCATGAGTTGCTCATTTATGAGGAGGTGGCCCGCATGCCCCCCTTCCGCCGGAAAACCCTGGTGCTGATCGGGGCTCAGGGTGTGGGCCGGCGCAGCCTGAAGAACAAACTCATCATGTGGGATCCGGATCGCTATGGCACCACAGTGCCCTGTGAGTGGGGCCTGGGTCCTGCGGGTGGGAGGCAGGGAGCAGGGGCTGCCCTGGGGGCCAAGGCTGGGTCCACTGAATGGGCATCTGCGTAGGCCCCAGGTTAAGCGATACCTTTGGGTGTGAGGTGTGTGGTGCGCGCCCTCTGTGGGTGGATGTGGGAACTGCAGGCTGGGGAGGGCGAGGAACCATTGGCCACGTGGGTGGTGCTAGCCTTACCTTTCCTTCTCTCATGTTTCACTTGCTAAAAGCCCAGCTGGGAACCCATGTGAAACAGGGCTATGAGCTGTGTGTGGCCTTGTGGAAAAGAGGGCTTCTGGTGACAGAACCAGAGGCAGGAACCTGAGTGCTGACCCCGGGTCTGCTTGGCCTTGCTGTGTGGCTTTGGGCTGCATATTGCCCTCTCTGGGCTTCAGCCCTCCATCTGTAAGCACTGGGTTACAACAGTGATTTCTGAAGGTCCCCTCAGTATGGACGTTTCCAGTCTGTGGGTGCCAATGGTGAGGGTGAGGGCAAGGTGTGCGGGAAGGCAGCAGGGCTGCTTGGTGCAGGTAGAGCACGAGCACGTGTGTCTGAGGTGGTGTGGCCTGCCTGTGCCCATTCGGCCCCTCCTTCCCCCTAGACACGTCCCGGAGGCCCAAGGACTCAGAACGGGAAGGCCAGGGTTACAGCTTTGTGTCCCGTGCGGAGATGGAGGCTGACATCCGTGCTGGGCGATACCTGGAACATGGTGAATACGAGGGCAACCTGTATGGCACACGTATCGACTCCATCCGGGGTGTGGTCGCTGCCGGCCGGGTGTGTGTGCTGGATGTCAACCCCCAGGTACTGCCTGTCCTGCTCCTTCCCAGCCTGCTCAATACCTCTCTGGGTACTCTGCTTGCCCCCCAGTATTACCCCATATACTTCCAAGTACCCCCCTATAACCCCTCAACTACTGCTAGGGACCCAGCCCACCTAGAACCTCTTTCAGCCTCCTGGACCCCCAGTCACCCGATCCCTAGCCACCTGCCAGCTATTTTGCCATTCATCCCCAGGACTCATGTCCCAGAGCCCCAGGTCCACATTCTCATCTATTCCCAGGTACCTGTTCTCACCCCCATCACCCCAGATGTACATGGGGATAAACTCCTGACCTTGCTCTCCTGCAGGCAGTGAAGGTCCTGAGAACAGCTGAGTTTGTCCCTTATGTGGTGTTCATTGAGGCCCCTGACTTTGAGACCTTGCGAGCCATGAACCGGACGGCGCTGGAGAGTGGGGTGTCCACCAAGCAGCTCACGGTGAGGGCCTCTAAGGTGTGGTGGGGGCGGTCTAATGGCTGATTGGGGTGGTGTGGGGGGCCAGCCAGAGCCGAGGAAGAGAAGAAGGTGGTGTCGGGAAGGGGAGAGGCGCCCACCCGAGGTACCACTGAGGTGAGACTTGCGAATCCCACTTTACAGGTGTGGGAATGGAGGTCTGAGCGAGGAAGTGAAGTGTAGAGTCAGGGACACAGCTGGCCCGGGGCACGGGACCTTCTGCCAGGCCCCCTGCTCGGTCCACTCTGTGGGAACAGGGCTCCAGGGGAGCCCAGAGGGCCGGTGGGAGATCTGTGGGCAGAGGTGGGCTGTTTACAGCTGGGGGTAAGGCTGAAGGGAGGGAGGAGGCCGGAGCCTGGAAGGCTGCCTGGAGGGACCAGTTAGCATCAGGGAGGAGGCAGTGCAGGGAGGAGAGGCTTCAAGTCAGGTGTTGCAGGACTCCGGGGCACCCCTTTCCCACCAGGGACCCCTTGGAACAGCCTTCCCCAGCAGGTGTAGGGTTTGCAGAGCTCTGAACTCAGGGGTCCCTCTGCTGGCCACTTATGGTACTGTAGCTCTCAGGCCCCGGTCAGGGGCTCAGACCCAGGAGAAAGGTCGGGGCTGGGCTCCCCACTTCTGCAGCCTGCTCTGGCCACAAACAGGGCCTACTGGAGCCCCCGGGACACAGCTGGGTCAGTCCTAGAGCTCCTGCCTCGGCTTATGTAAGTCAGTATTCAAGTTCCCTTCCCATGCTTGCCCGTCCAGCTTGGGCTGTGTCTGGAGAGGGGGTTGCCTCGGGCCCTTGTGGGTGGCCCTAGGACCAGGTGTGGCAATTGCCTTTCAGGCTGTCTAGGTAAGGGGGCCTAGTCAGACTGAAGGGAGCTCTGGCAGACCCCGTTCAGCCATTGGCTGGCTGTGTGGCCTCTTTGTACGTCAGTTTTCTCTGTTGTAAATGAGAATAATTAGTCCTGCTTGCAGAGCTGTAGTGAAGATTACGCTGGTTGCCAAGTGTTTAGTGCAGTGCTTGGCACTTCCTAAAGGTTATTTCCTTCCTCCCTTCCCACCACCCATCTGTCTGTCCAGGGTTACAGGAGAGCTGCCTTGGGGCATGCAGGGAGGGGCTGCCGCCTCCCCAGCCAGGGTGTCTGTGCCTGCCATGGTTGGTACTTTGGGCATTGGGGAGGGGGCTAGATGGGGCAGGCTGTGGGTCCCCCTGACGCTGGGGGTGCCAGGGGGATACTGATGGGCGGGAGGCCCCCTTGTGCCGGCAGGAGGCGGACCTGAGACGGACAGTGGAGGAAAGCAGCCGCATCCAGAGGGGCTACGGTCATTACTTCGACCTCAGTCTGGTCAATAGCAACCTGGAGAGCACCTTCCGTGAACTCCAGGCCGCCTTGGAGAAGCTGCGCATGGAGCCCCAGTGGGTGCCCGTCAGCTGGGTGTACTGAGCCTGTTCTCCTGGACCTCGGCCCTCTGGGTTGTGACCTAGAACCCTGAATCCGTCCCCTTCCCAACCGTGAGCCCCACCCATGATCCTCAGCTCCCGTTCCCGGCGCTCTGGCTCTCCCTGGGTCATGGCCCTAAGACTGGCTTCAGCGCAGGAGGCGTGTGCACTGCCAGGGAGGTGAGTGTTCGTGGGGCACGTCTGTGCCCAGGTGCTACCCACTCCCGACGTTCATAGGCCACCAGATGTCCCTCGCTGAGGGCCGAGCCGTGCCCCGGAGTGTCGGAGTCGCCTCCATAATGTTCAGTCCAGAGAAGAGAAAAGCTGCTTTGGGACCATGTGGTCAGTAGGTACACTGCCCCCACCCCTCTCGCCAGTCAGTTTTTCTCCTCTGGACTGGCCACCCTGACCCCACTCCTGGGCTGCTCCTACTTCTCGCCCCTGCAGCCTAGGGGCAGGCCTTAGGCTGGTTCCCTGTGGCCAGGGGGCTATGTGGCCCCCTGGCAGCTAGGCAAGCCCCGGCGCGGTGCCAGCCTGGTGCCATCCCGAAGGCTGGAGGAGCCGAAGCACCAGCCAGTTGCCGCAGCCAGGGAGCAGCGCAGTTCTCTGCCCCCTCGGAACGGGGCTGGCTCCCGTCCTTCCCTCATGCACAGCTTTTCACTGCCGAAGTCTCTCCACAGACTTCTCCGATGTGCCCCTGACAGTCCAGCTCTGCTCCCCGTAGGGCAAGGGCGTCAGGGGCTGCGGGCTCAGCCCAGGCGGGGGTGGGCTGGAGGCCGAGCCCTGTGACGAGGAGCCTGACGGGAAGCTCCCAGCCCTCCGTGGCCCATGGTGGGGACGTGTCTGGGCTCCCTGTCCATGGTCAGTGTCCATTTTGGTCTCTGTGGCCGGGTCCAGGTGCCCACTCACATGAAGGCGGCCTGGGGGCTGGGGAAAGGGGGCATGGCCTTGGAGGATGTTTGCACCCCAGCAGACTCCCCGCACAACTCCAGGGGGCGCCATCCACACTGTAGTCTCCACAGCTTATGGTTCCGCAGGCTGCAGTGCCTGGTCTGTGTTTCTGCCACTGGTGTGTGTGTCAGGCTTAGTTTTTGGAGAGGGGAAGCAAAGGGTTGTTGTGCTTTGGAGGTCACTCTTTGGGGCCCTGTTTTCGGGCTCCCCATCAACCCCCCATTTCTTATGAGACCCTTATCCCAGATTCCAGAGGCTCGGCCTTCCCCAGATGTCTTCCTCCACTCTCCTGTTGTCCCCCGACCCTAAATGCCACCCTGCAGTCTTTGAGGAGGGCAGCTGTGTAAAATAGGAGAATCCCTTTTTTAAAAAGTATGCTGTCCTTGACTTCCCCAGACATCTCATCCCTCATCCTTCTCTGTGACCTGGGGTGAACCTGTCCTTGTAGGGGACCCCCCCCCATAACCCCACCCCCAGCCTTTGTGCTCCCCAGTTCTTCTGTCTAATCAGTCTTTGCTGCAGTGTCAGCCAAGCTGGCCCCTGAACCACTGTGTGCCCATTTCCTAGGGAAGGGGAGGGAGAAGAAACAGAATATTTATTACAAAGTCAGAAATATATTTATTATATTAGGGATCTCATTTGCATTTGCCTAGGATATGCAAATGAGATGTAAAGGTCAAGTCTACTTCCATCTCATTTGCATAGCTCTGCATCCGCTGTGCGGTCAGCTTTACGTTCCTCTTCTCCCTTTAGTCAATGTTCTTTTAATTTATCCTCAATTCAGCTCTCTCTTGCTTCACCCTCACCCTCAACCCAAGGGGACTGGGAGTGGGAGGAAAAGGGGGTGTTCTCGCCCTGGCTCAGGGCCATGGGGTTCTTTGTTCATACCCACGTCACCCAGGAGACTTGGGAATAGAGGCAGCTACCCCCTCCCCCTTGGTTAACCTCCACAGCACTCTGATTAGAAGACCATTCTCTTCGATAGGAGGTGGGGCTGGGCACCTTGCTGAAGAGTTGGCACATGGCCCTTGAGGGTGAAGCTCCAGTTACTGTTCTGGCACCTTCACTTCTGGTGATGCCTGTGGGTTGGGCCCCTCCTTTCCCGTCTCTATTCCTCTCTGAACAGCATTCTACCTCCCCTGCTTCACTCCGGGGACCCGTACTGGGTTGGAATGGGTGTGTGTGCCCACCGCGTTAGCCCTCGGCCTCCATCCTCCCTCTTCCCACTGTGGACGCTTGTACTGAGGAACCTCAGGATTATAGGACGCTGCCCCCCGTCCACACTCAGTCCCAGCCCAGCTGTGCTCCTCCTGTCCCCTCTTGAGCTTTCTCGCTGATTGGCTTTCTTTTCCTTTGATTAAATGTGAAAGCAAAGCTTCTGGGCTCTGTTTGTCTTTCACTGGGGTCGGGTGGATGGCTTTGGGAAAGGTTGAGAGTGGGGAGCACAGCATAGATGAGTCTGGAATGGAAGCTGGAGTGACATGTCTTGCGTTCTGTGATGTCTTCTGAAATTTCCCGTCTCGCCACTCCACACTCCCCACCCCCAGAAGATGCTCTTGCTAAATGCTTGTATCGAGGAGTCTGTGAGCATCCACGGGGGCCAGGGGACTCAGGGACCCCATGGCTAATCCACTCAGCTTCACCTGGAACTTGCTGTGTGGCCTTAGGCAGGTTCCTCTGCTTCTCTGGCCCTCAAGTTCATCCTCTGTAAAGTGTCATGGCCTCTCCCAGGACTACTGCTAGGATTGATTCTAGGTGCTTAACAACAAGGGCCATAGAGAGCTGGTTGAAATGTCACCCCGATGTCACTATGGGTGTGTGGTTGAGGGGTCAGCCTTCCTTCCCACCTGAGTTCCTCAGGGGAGCCCAGAATGCTCACTGAGGATTCTCAAGAGGGGGCTTTGGCTGTTCCCCTTCTCTCTGTGATGACCAGGTGTGGAACTGGCCCCCTTCCTTTGACTTGCCCCCAAACATCCGTTCACACAGGGACGAGTGTGGGGCTAACTTGACTGGTGATTTGGAGGCAGCCATAGGGGTTTATATCACCCACCTGACAGCCCTGATGAGACTTTAGACCTGAATATTAAACACCCCAATTCTGAAATGTCCCTTGACCATTCCCAGCACATAGAATGTTTTCCTGGCCAATTTTTTCTTCTTGGGTCCCCCTGCTTCCCTCCATGGTTCTGGGCCCGCTCCTGCTTTTTTCTCTCATTTCTGGACAACGTTCTCCCCATGTCCTGGGGCACCCCCGGAAACTCAATATTTCTTTACTATACCAGCAACTCCACACTTGTAATTCTGTCCTAATCCAGTGGTTCTCAACTCTGGTCTCACATTAAAATTGCCTGTGGGGTTAAAAAATACAATTGCCTGGACCCCAAGCCAGAGCAAAGGAAAGGAAAGGCTAAGAGCTTAGCAACTGAACAACTGAATAACACCTCAGCAACTGAACAACTTTATTATTCATTTCTTTCTCACAACACAACTGATGGAGATTAGGTGGCACTCCTTGCAGTGATTCAGGGATCCAGACTCCCTAGTCACGGGGCCCTGGATTACTGCAAGTGAAGCTGGGAAATGTAGTCTTTCTTGGTGCTCCAGAAGAGGAAACAGGATCTAACCAGGACATGGGTTTGAGCCCTGGTCCGGGAAGATCCCACATGCTGTGGAGCGACTAAGCCTGTGCGCCACAACTACTGAGCCTGTGCTCTAGAGACCGCGAGCCACAACTTCTGAGCCCATGTGCCACAACTACTGAAGCCCATGCCCGTGCTCCGCAACAAGAGAAGCCACCGCAAAGAGAAGCCCACGCACCGCAACCAAGAGCAGCCCAGCTCACTGCAACAAGAGGAATCCCGTGCGCAGCAACGGAGACCCAACACAGCCAAAAAAAAAAATTGAAAAAACCCACATTAAATAAATTAATTAATTAAAGCTCCCCAGATGATTCTAATGTGTAGCCAAGTTTGCCAACCACTGTGCATCTATTTTGGACATAACTTTGTGGTGTGGGGAATTTCCTTTTAGTCCCAAACTGGCATCAGTTTTTCCTAATAGAGACAGTTAAATTTCTAAAAGGAATTCTGCCAGTTTTTTTTTAAAATCCTTTTTCCCTCTTGGCACAGTAGCAGGTGGTTAGTAGGGCAGAAAGGATTCTTATCACACTATATGTTGGGAAGACTGGCCTAGAGGGGCAAGGGCTTTGTCTAATGTCACACAGAAAGTTGTTGGCAGAGCTGGAACCAGGCTCTTGGACTCTTGGCTCCCAGCCAGGCTTCCCTGCCATGCTGCCTTCCAGAGATGGAGGGGGATTGATTAGAAATGGGGGTAGGGTTGTGCTTGCGGAAGGAGGCACTGTTGGAGGAGAAACATGGGCTAAGAAAGGGAACCACGAGGGATCGCGTGGGCTCCCTTGCCATCCCCAGATTCAGCTCCTCAAGAGACCCAGGGGGTCGAGGGCATCACCTTTAGACAAGCTCACTGGCCCGGCTTCCTCCGGGCTGGGTTTGGTGGGGACCACAGAGTTCTGGGAGAGACAAGTGTAGGCCATGCCAGCTGGTAAGGAGGGCCATCTAGCTTGTTCCATTGATCTGTTTAGCCTAATTGCCATGATCAGAGTTGTAATTCTTTAGAAACTTCTGTTTTACTATCTAGTAAGGAAAGTTTCCAATTACTCTCTTTTTTATTTATTATTTTTAAAATAAATTTATTTATTTATATTTTTGGCTGCGTTGGGTCTTCGTTGCTGCTCACGGGCTTTCTCTAGTTGTGGTGAGCGGGGCTTACTGTTCGTTGCGACACGCGGGCTTCTCATTGTCGTGGCTTCTCTTGTTGCGGAGCACCAGCTCCAGGAGCGAGGGCCTCAGTAGTTGTGGCATGCGGGCTCAGTAGTTGTGGCTCTCGGGCTCTAGAGAACAGGCTCAGTAGTTGTGGCGCACTGGCTTAGTTGCTCCGCGGCATGTGGGATCAGACCAGAGCTCGAACCCGTGTCCCCTGCATTGGCAGGCGGATTCTCAACCACTGCGCCACCAGGGAAGTCCCTGTGGCTGTAACTTTTGCAGTTTGCGGTGTGACAGCAAAGCTGGCACAGATTTTTTTCCTTCTTCACAGTCTCCTGGATAGATTTGTTCTTACACCGTTTGATTTTTTTCTTTCCTTTTTTTTTTGTTTTGTTTTGTTTGTTTTTTCGCCGTGTGGCTTGTGGGATCTTAGTTCCCTGACTAGGGATGGAACGGGGCCCCCTGCAGCGAAAGCTCGGAGTTCTAACCATTGGGCCACCAGGGAATTCCCTTTCTTCCCTTTTGAAGTTGAGCACTTCCACCTTTTCCCTTAAAGGAAGCACGTTACGGCTTCTCTGTGGCAGATCCAAATTGCCAGCATCACTTCTCTGGTGCTTTGGGGCGATTTTGAGTAAA